ACAATATTTATCGTTTAAAAATTTTTGCTTAAAAATTCTCAGTTTAATAAAAAATATTACAATGTAAAATAATTTTGATGGCATTCAGTATATCTCTGTTTAGCTAAAAATATAAATATAAATATATATATATATATATATATATATATATATATATATCGTAGCTAAAAATATGTATATCGTCGTACTTTTAAAAATTGTAGCTACGTATTTCTTTAGTGTTATTCTAAGGAAAATTTGTTATGTTAGTTTCTTATAGTCATTTAGGACTTTCAGTAAAATGAACATTTAAAAATATTACAAGTGACGCTTACTATATTAACCTATTATCATATTTATATAAATCTGTAAAACTATTTAATCAACAATATACATAAGAAGTGTAATTTGTAATATCGATATATAGCATATAATCGAATAGAAAATACGTAATGGACAGATTAAATTAGTTCAATTGAATATCTTTACGTGGGCTTTATATTATTACTATAAAAAAAAAAAAAAAAAAAAAAAAAAAAAAAAAAAACTATGGCTGGCAAAATAATACTTAAGCAGTAAATTTTTAATGCAACGAAGCAAACACTCGGCATGTAATATTATGAAAACAATATGATAATTGAACTCCTTTATAGTGTTGACGTCCGCGAGTAAGCGACGCTTTACATCGGTATCGTGTAATCTCCTGATCGTTTTAAATATATTTTTACAGATTTTTCACTTTTTCTATCCATCGTATAATTATATATAATAATAACGCATTTAGACGATAGCTTACATTTAAAAAATTTAATAAAAACAAATTGCTTCGCATAAAAACGTTCGGGACTTTAGCGAACGGAAATTGTGCAAAATACAGGCGCATATAAAAAATTAAATCTGTATTCTGCTTTCGGATTTCATCATTTTTACTTATTGACTGTACGTGTAATTACTGCTATATAAAGGTTTTGGTTACAAGATTATACGTACTTACTTTGTCGTGAGATTTCGTATAAGGAAGAACACATAATGCTTCGCGTTTATTTATTTATTTTTTTCGTTTCATTTGGTTAAATGTTATAGGCATTATTGAATGAAAGTTAACCATATTGACGTAGATAGTACTTTTCTCTTCTAATTTAAAAAAATATTCAAATGCTTGAAAATTATATTGTAAAAATCTATTATTATATTCATATGAATTATAAATTAAGATAACAGACTATTATTATTGTGTAAATAAAAAACGCTCCCTTGAACACTCATCATTTTTCATTTAAAAACGAATGAAAATTTGATATAAATAAAAGTTTAAGTGCTTTATGTAAGACTTAGAAAGTAGTGCGTTTCTTATATTGATTATAATATTACATGGTAAAATGATTAAAATTCCCATGATATATTCACGAACGAATTATTTACAACTTAATAACAGAGAACGTGGAAGATATTTCATCAACAAACTGTCAATTATTCAACATGTTCAAATTTTTTTCTCTTCTTTTTCATTAGAAATTTTTATAAAATTTCATGTCCTATGCCTCATTATTTTAATTGTGTGACTGAGACCTTCTAATAAATCTTTATTGTCTACTATAAGTGTGCACGATCTAGATTTCAAAAAGTGATAATGATGACTCGGAATACTCCAGAATCGAACCTTCATACGGATTTTTATCCGTATTATGTAATATGTATTTACACGAAGTACAATATACTTTCTATACGTTTATGAACGTCGTAGTTGACAAAAATGACGAACGGAAATTCTATTTCTTTGAAGATAGCCCGTTCGTTGTTTTGGATACATACAATATACGTACTATTATTAGCAGTTATCGATGGACTAAAAGTTCAATGACCCATTCAATTTAAAACCTATTCTATTATAGAATTATATTAAGAATATTTATGCAAACGATGATTCGGCTCGACAATATTTTATCTTCGCTTCATCAAGTATTGAAACACACATTTTATAAAAGTACACATAATAATAATAAAATTTAACCAGTCCCAATGTTTTGTAATTTTTATACGTTTTTACAATAATTTAAATTATATTTAGAAAGAAATTTTATTTAAAAATAACCTCGATATATTTCATAATAATAAAAAATAAAAATAATAATAATAATAAAAAATGATGTCAGTGCCATTTTACTTATAATAGTAAAATTGAAACATAAATATCAAAACTTAAGAAATAAGTAATCTATGATGAATATAAATAAATATAATATATTTTGAGCCGAAAAACTTTACGCTTCCATCATTTCGTGAATTGCAAATTTCACATTTATTCGTTCAGCAATTCACTTCTTCTTACACTATTAATTTACTCTTCCTAATCCTATTTTAATCTTCTTCTTTCTCATACCTCTTCCCCCTCTTTCTTCCTTCCTATTAATTCGTATAATTATTAAACAGTTACGAACTACTGTATTTATTATATGATTTGTACAATCGCTATCATAACTACGAGCTTTCCCTTTCTTTAAAGCTGTACCGAAGTCATTGGCATTTCATGACCAATGGGTGAACAGAAAATAAAGAAATAAGCATAAGAACATTTAATAATGATATTAAGAGCAGTTTCATTCGCCATTTTTACAAATATACCTAAAGAATGCAAATAAAAAAAAAAAAAAAAAATATTTCAGATTCGCAGAATCACAATTTTAGAATTAGTAATGAGAAAAAATTTTAACTACAACTCATAATTGACGCGATTGTGTATCCTTTTACTTAAAATATTGTAATTTCCTCGCTTACTTTTTGTAATATTTGGCACTAATCATTTCATCAATGATTAATTAATGCAGAATTTATCAAGTTTATTTCTAATTCCATCAATTTTACTAGAAAGAATTTTGCAGTTTCACTGAATTTTTCTTCTTCTAACGTTCTTATAATTTACATTAGAACCGCATTTATACGATCGATAATGCTTATATTATTCAACAAAGTATAAGAAAATATTTAATCTTGCAAAATGTATAAAATTTGCGTTTTATTTTCAATCAAAGTAAGTCTTTTGGTCATTCAAAATTATGAACTCAACTAAAAATACTATTACGATTACGAATATTATTTAAGCTGGAAAGTAATTTATTTTAAAATAAATTTTAAAATTTAATTAAAAATTACTGTTCAATATAAAAAAAATAATTACGAAGCAATTGTTAATATAAATACTTAAAAATCTCATAATCATTTTGGTCGAAAAAATTTATAGAAATGCAAGATTAAAAATGCATTAGCTACTCTACATAGAAAAATTATATTTAATCCTGATATTATGTTTCACATGTGACTGTATATGTATATATGTTTAATATTATAATTTACAATATAAGCAGATAACGATCTCAATACATAGAAAAATTTTCGAAACTTTTAATTATTAATGAGGTGCTAATTCATTAGTAACTAATTAACGACAACATTGATAGTTAATATAACTATCAATAAGAGTTACCATTACTTATTTGCTCATACGTCTTTTGTTAATTATTATATTCATTTATCCTATTAATATATCTCTAATGTAAATAAAGAAAAAATCCATTTCCATATTTCTAGATTTTGTTTCATGTAAAACATCATTTATTACTATTAATTTTAAAAATTCCTGTTTTAATGCCATTTCACGTAATTTTTTTACGAATATTATGATATTTTCTATTAAAAAATGAAAGACATATTTGTAAATTATTTCATATACTTTATTGTAACTAAGCTTATGTAAATTGAATTTTTTTTTTTTGCAATAATAAAAAGTACTATATTAAAATTATTTAATATTATGAAAGCACATCGATAAAACAAAAATTAATAATGTTACGTTAAAAAGTTTCTTTTAATCTCACAAAAATGAATTAACATTAACCATTCATATTACATTTAATTTTTATTCTATGCTTTACTAATATAATCTCTACAATGAAATGTAATACAATAATAATTAGTAAAGTATTGGTTTATTTTATTCGATATCGAAAAATTTGTAATAGTAATGACATATAAATTAATGAAAATTTATTAATAACATTTGGGTATTAAACAGTTTTTGCATTTACTTAATATAAACATTATACATATCCTATCTGAAATTACACGTATTTTGTAATTTATATTTTTGGAAAATTTCAAACAAATTGATAAACTTACGCATTATATAAAATCTCAACGCATTTAAAAATTTTGTCTGTGTACACTAAATGGACTTGAATGAAACAAAAATTTAAGAAATTTTTGATAATTAAATAAAACAAAAAATAAGAAAAAAACGAACAAAATATAATAATTATAAAAAGAAAAAAATTAATAAAACTAAATTTCACAAAATTACTTTCAACGATTTAATATAATCCTGAAGATGAATACATTTTTGCCTTTTTTATACGTTTGATTTTTTTTTTTTTTTTTTTTTTTTTTTTTTTTTTTTAAATCGTTATATTACGAATGAATTAGTATTAGCAGTAATTTTGATGGAATATAATAATGATAATGAGGTTTCGTATATCATTATACCAAAAGCTTATAGATAGGCCAATATTATAATATAGTAATGATACAGCATCGTCTTGCTAATCTTTATAAGTATTTAAATTGTAATTTTCTAAAAATTCGTAGGAAATTTATGATATGACAACGAAATTTGTTATAGGTATATATATATTTTATGTTTATATACGAATAAAAATGAAACTTTGCTTCCATATATTACGTTTATCGAGTATAAGGTACCTAATTACCTACTACCTTTATCTTTAAGATTCTAAACTATCGAATCGCTTTTTATATACTAATCGAACTTCACATCGCCTACCATTGATTTCAATCAATCGTATCCTCTTTAAAAGCGCTCTATTATGTCTCTAATAATTCTTTGTTTATTGCACAACTCCTTCACTCGCGATCTTCTATTAATGTCTATTAGCAGCTAACGCAATCAAAGTGATAACGCGTAAATTTCTGAATAATGTTCGCACAAGCACTGGTAATCCCTCCCCTTACTTTGTACATTGGAAAGCCAGAGGTACGTAGCTATGGATGTGTCACTTTCATTATCTGTTAGAAAAGCGGCTTCCTTCCGACCCTCTTCACCTGCATTTCGATATCTGCCTTTAGGAATAAAAATTCTCCCGCTGTTGGTATAGAGGCAGCGGAGTTACCGGCGATAGATCATCGTCATCGATGCTGGAATCCATGTCGTGAGGAAGACACGCGAGAGCACTCACTAGAGGATAATTGCCATACATTAGTATTACAATTTTTTTTTTTTTTTTTTTTTTTTTTCGATAAAGCGTGCATTTCCTAGAACTAAATAAGACGAATAAATACGAAAAATAAATTAGACGATTGTTGGTTGGAAGACGATAAATAGGAATTTCCAACTCTTACTCAATGTGTCGCGCTGAATGTTCTATTGTTCTTTTTATTCTACTTTTTTTTTTTTTGCGTTAAGACGTGGCTTTTAGTTGAGAAAAATGCAGGCTTTATTGATTTCAAATAAACAATAAATGAATTTTATAAATATTTTCAAATGGCTAAGCTATCAAACTCTTCATATTTAATCAAATATATGAAATAAATTAAGATGATCTTATGACATAATTATATGATAAATAAATTAAATCTTACATAAAAGAATAAAACAAATGAAAATATTTTATAATAACGAACATCGGGTCGACCAAATTTACAAAGACGTTGGTAAATAATTTCTTTTACTTCATGTAATAAATAGCAAATACTTGTAAAACAGCCAGATTAAAATTTATTATAATCGTATTGGAAGAAATTCTAAGGCTAGAAAATACTAATCAAAAAAAAAAAAACCGAGTCAGTGATTTAATCACTTTGCGATCGATACGATTATTTATATACGTATGTATATATACATAATATAATATATATACATTAAATATAAATAATTTTGTTTATACAAAAATACATTTTTAAAAACGATAAATACTTTCACGTTATTATGTTTAATTTTTTTATATGTCCTATATGTAAAGAAATCATTACTATCAAATGATTATTACTTGTAAAATAAATCATGTAAATAATAGCAAAAGCGTGAAAAAAAAAAGTTGCTTTTTACATAATGATTATAACAATATCAAAAGTGCTTATTGCGATGATAAAAAACATACAAAAAATCTTCTTATTTCTTGATTTTTTCATAAAATCTATAGAAAAATGAATTCCAACAAAGTTCTTATTTTCCTCATATTCATATGATAATTTACAATCATTAACTTTAATTTAACACAATATAAACATTAATAGTATATTATTATCATTGACAAATTTTTTTACCAACAGCAGTAACAAAATTATTAATTTGAAACAAGCAAACGTAAAATTAACGAAATATATTTAAACGCATAATATGTGACTAAAGGAAAAAAATAAACAAACCTGACAAACAGTAATGTGATGTGTATTTCCTACATGGGGAGATGGAGGAAGCATGTCAGTCAGTGTGCCTGGTTACCTATACACAGCACAAACGTTCCAAACAACACTCTACTAGTTGGCAAGATATTATCAGTTCATCATCATCGTCATGTCAAGGGAAGCTGTATGCCTTTGGCTTATCAATAAATTAGAACAGACGTATAGAGCGTTCTGTAAGAATAGTATGCAATCTATACTATTTTACATCAGTCAGTGTTACGAATTAGCTATGATCATTTTGTCTCATTGCAACATTGAACGCTGATACATAAATAATTTTACACCTTCACTCCATTGCTCGAAATTATTAAGCTAAGCATAGCAGTATTATGATTGCACTGAATAACATTGATTAATTACTACGTAATCTATGACAGCTCTATTCGTTCATTATAATCAAGATTATAAGTAAGATATTATGCAGTTCATGTGTAATTTCAACAATACATTTAATATAAATAAAGCATGGCTTACAATGACATTGACTATGAAATGAATGTTTGCCAAAGCAAATCTAAAGTATTTTTGAGCAAACACTCGAAATGATACTATGAGACGTAATAATGAGCTTAAGGACAATCAAATATAATGAGTTGGATCCACAAAATAAAAATTAAAAAAAAAAAAAAATAGAAAAAAGATATAACGAAAAAAACGAAGAAAAAAAGAACAACTAAATTGTATAAATAAAACTTTGACAATTTAAGTAAATAAAAAAAAAAAAAAAGAAACAAAAACATGCTCGTCACACCTGTAAGACTAACAAATATTAATATTTTAAAACACTGAAGTATCATGCATAACGAGTGAAATTTCAAAAAATCAACAAAATTACGTATAATTAAATTACGATTAGAAATTCATACCAGCCACCATTTTGCTTTTTTCCATTACTTGTTTAGCCAATATTTGATTGAGTTGGAGAATATGATCCCTTTGACGTTTTTCTTCAGCTACTTTTTTCTTCAGAGAATTTGATTTTTCAGTATTCGAATCATCTTCTAAAATTCCAATCATGTTTATTATAATTATTAATACATAATGGGATGATTTTTTAAAATACAAATTTATATATTTAATATGAACTTTGGCAAATTTTTTCCTCTTCGCGTAATCATTATTTATAATCGCAATAAATTTATAAAGCAATAAAAATATTCGTTAAACTTCATACTACTCATGAATGAATTTATAATAATATTTCAAATGTTAAAACATACGATAATTAATACATTTCCATTTCAATAAATAATTAACTTAATTATACGAATTATATTTGACGATAAATTGTATTTCATACTTATATGAATTCGGGATTACGTGAGTAATCAAAGCTTATCAGATTGTTTTTCATGTAACCCCTATTTAACGGTTAATATAATTTATAATTTTTATTTATAAATGTTAATTAAAGTGCTATTTTATTTTGCTTCATTCATTAAACAGCTCAAGTGCCTACATTAATTAGCTATCTTTACACACTTTACATCTTAAAATATAAATACATAATTCATTATATTAAGGAATTTTATATATATATATATATATATATATCATAATTTTTTCATATTTTTTAAATATAGAAATGAAATGAAAATACGTATAATACAAACCTGTGCCATCAGACGCAGTAACGGTAGTTTCGGATAACATTTTTCTTATTGACTCTGCTTTCTTTAATCGATGCTCTTGTTCTTCAGCCGTCAATTCAGGAGTCTAAATATAAGGTTTAAATAATCAATTACGAACTTATCGAACGCGCGCATGTAAGATACGCGTGCATGCTTATACGTGCTTTGTTTGTTTGTTTTTTTTTTAAATATAAATATAAATAAAAATTTAAGCCATATCAAGCATTATACGAAGATAGAAATTTAATATAAAAATATGACTATTTTTAAGATTTCGGTATGTAATTTTATCCTTGCAGTATGTTCGATTGACATGCTAACTAATTACTACATGATCAAATAGCTGATATTATTGATTTACATACTATTTTTAATGCAAGCATTCTTATTTAATAGTAAGGGCATTTGTTTATATATAAGACGTATCGATAATATATAAAATCTATTTAAATATAGAAGGATAAAAGATAGAAAAAGTACATAAAAAGAAAGAAAAAAAGTGGGTAAAACAATAAAAAAAAAATATTTAATTATATTAACGACGCGAGCAAGTTGTTACCTTTTCTGGCACATAACGTTCAGGGATGATGATCTTATTTGGGGTTCCCAAAAGTTGATCGATCGTGCTTTCATTATATTTCAACTCCTTGTGACTCAAGGTCGATCTGACGACGTCGGGAGCATTAATTCGTGGCCGCAAAGCTCTTTCCATGTCTAAATCGTCTCTTGCTCTACCCATACCCTAAAAATTTGTTTTAATAGTAAAAATATTTATAAATAATTTGACCAAAGTCTTTGAGAATACGGTTAATTGAATTGCTTAATAATCATTTTAGGCAACACCCTCGACATACTATTATAAATATAATGAACTGTTAATTTCTAAAAGCTTAGCTATTGGTATATAAAGGTATATCGTTGATACACATTGAAACTGCAGTTGTAGGTAGTAACTTTTTTTTTCCCCCGAGAAATAAATATCATAACAAATATTAGAAACATTTGTTATCTAAAAAAATTGTAATGCCTTTATAAGTTGTGGTGGTGTTACTTGATGACTATGAAATCTTTATGATATATTACATTTTAAATTGCAGTTTTTGCGTATAATTTGCCTTATAGTAAATGCATATGTATGTACACTTTTTAATTTGGCTAAGGATAAATTTGTTAACACTTAACTACATTACTATACATTCTTTTAACATTTATCAAATATTATTTAATATGCTAGCATTAATGTTAATTAAATAAGCAGAGTCTAAAAAAAATTTAATGCTCCAGCTGTATATGCAAAGCGATTTTTGTATTAAACTTTTGAAAATAGATACATCGACAGTGTTAAATGTTAAATAAATATTTGTCTATATGTAGTATTTTATTTCAATATATGATGATATCGAAAAAAAAAAAACCATTAAAGCATAATTTATCAAAGCTATTCTAAAACTAATTCATTAAGAATATTGATGTTACATTGAACGTTGAAACAATAATTTATTTGAACTCATTATTAGGATCGTTTGAATAAATTAAAATTACAATAGATCGATACAAGTTAATTAAAAAATAATTCATGACTTTAGGTTAATTAAGAATAAAGACGGGTGTAGCTGTGAAGAGTAAAAGAAGCATGACAGATAAATACATGTGTTAGGTATGAAGCATCGACTTTATGAAAAAGAAAGATTTAAATAGATAAAAGATAAAGAAGTAGAAAAAGGATAGATGATATCGATGAAAATGCTGTTTTTTTATATAGTAAAATATAATAGGTTTGGTATAAATAGAAAGTTCCAGGGTACGTGTAAGGAAGTGAAACAAAGTTGACAAAAGTAAAAAAAACTCACTGAACGCTAAAACGATGTTTTTCTGTTGTTATATTAAACATTTCGTCGGAAAGTTTTACAAAATTTTAATTCAATGCCTTGAAAATTACAAATACATATCACCTATGAAGTGCAGAAGACAAAAAAAAGGAAGAAAAAAAAAATGAAAAGAAAAGAAGAAGAAGAAGAAGAAGAAGAAGAAGAAGAAGAAGAAGAAAAAGAGAAAGAAAAACAAGAACAACACAAATTGTTCCGCGCGCAAGAGGATTCAAATGTCAGAATTTGTTAATTAAACGGGCCACTTTAATTAATTCACATTCATACACGGTGACACGAAATAACAAGCAAAATGGAATGAAAATTTTTCGTAAAAATGACAGTTGGCCGAACGTAATTCAATGATTTGACGTAGTGACGATTAAGAGGCTTTGAAAGTATAAAGACGGTCTGGAAAATTAAACAACAATTTGTGAAATCTGCTAAGTATGTCGTCGGCAAGGCAGAGATCGACCGCGTATGAAGAAATAAAAATTGCAAAACCGTAAGAATCCCCAGATGAAGATAAAAGGCGTCTACCATCTTCGTGAAAGCGTCTTCCAAATCGAATAGCGGCTTGCTACTCGAGACAGTGTAGTGCCTTCTCTTTTCCCTGGGCACTTGGCGCTTTCTGGGCCTCCCGGCGTCGGGCTTCTTCTCCGTCATCTCCTTGATGATCTGCTTGGCGGCCTCGCTCTTGAAGACGGGCGACAACTGTGGCGAGAGCTCGGCCGTGATACTCTGGACGCTTTGGCTGGGCGAGAGTAGCTTCGGGCTCATTGGGTTTACGGATGAGCTCGAGTCCCCGTAGTAGTGCTGCTGTTGTTGCTGCTGATGGGATTGCTGCTGCTGCTGTTGCTGTTGTTGTTGCTGCTGTTGTTGTTCTTGTTGTTGCTGCTGCTGTTGTTGCTGTTGCTGTTGCTGTTGCTGTTGCTGTTGTTGTTGCTGTTGTTGCTGTTGCTGCTGCTGCTGCTGCTGTTGCATGCCGTAGATGGGGTAAGGACGCTGATACGCGGGGTAGTTTTGGCTGGGGCTATAGGGTGGACTGGTGGAGTAGCAGTAGTAGTTGCTGGGGGACGAGACGCTTGTCGTCTGACCCTGGGATGAGGAGTAGCTCGGACTGTCGGTCATGTAGGGCGATAACGTACTGTCCGAGCTTCCCGCGTCCTGATTCTCAAACTACTCGGATCGTTTTGATTGTCGTGCGTTTCATGAACGTAGGTGGATTAGTATGGTGGTGTTGTTTGTCGTTGTTGATGATTCGAGGCACGGGGAGGGATGAGAGGTGGCGACAAAAAAACGAATATACAAATGAGTCTGGCTGAGTTGCTTTACTGAGGGCTTCATTTATGCTAATTGGGAATTCTATTGGAATGTTATTGATTGTTGATTTATCGTTACATGGATTTATCGAGCTTTGTACAAAATACATGGATGCATGTATTTACAGACTGTTCCAACTTCTTTCGAGAAAGTGTGACGATCGATGGGCAATTCTGTCGACGAGTAATTCTCGCAATTCACGGCTTTGTAACAACTTTACAAATTTATTGAAAAAAGGTACATTTACACTCACGTCGCTTAATTATTGGTAAGGATATTAGCTTCGTATGTATTTAGTATGAGTTACTAATAATGTTAATGAAGGAAGCGGGTCAGCAAATCTCTTCACAGAAAATATTATCCCGTTTCATTAAATTGCCAGCGCGAAAATCGTCATACTTCCTTAATAATACTAATACTAATAATAATAAAAAAATATTAAATAAATAAAAAAAAAAAAAAAAAAAAAAAAAAAAAAACAACCATACTGGGTTTAGTAGTAAGTAATTAAAATAGAAAACGATAAAAGTGGAAAAAAATTTTTTTTGAAAATGTTAAAACAATGACATTAATAACAATATTAATAACGTTCCATTAAAACATCTTTCTTCCATCCTCTCCATCCATTCATCCATCTATCCAAACATATACGCGCACGCATTCGTCTGGATGCAACTTAAATGTACTTAAATATATATAAATGTATGCTATGAGATGACGTAAGGACGAATTTGTATAAAATGTAATCATTCCTAAGCGGCGGCTAAGATATTAGCTTAAATCTAGCTAAATAAACTATCGATGCAAAATACTAAGAGGGACTTATTATCGTAGTATTTACCCGGACACGCTGCCTCCTGGCCATCATGTTCCTCAGGGCGGTCATGCTGTCGCTCCGAGGGGGCGGGGCAACGGGTCCCTGGTGTACACCCGGATGAGGCTTTTGGCCCCCGAAGCCCCGGGGAAGAGACATACTGCGCTGGAATTGCACATCGCTGAGCTCGGACAACTGGACGCTGCTCTGCGCGTGGATCATCGGTGTCTCCTCGACCACCCGGTCCAGCTGATGCTGTGGTAGAGGGGGAGGGGTGATACGATCGTTAAGGTAACTTTTCGTTTTAATGTAACTGGTGATTGCTAGTTTAAAAATTCCACCCAATTTGATCGACTTTGAGTGAAAAGTGGCCTAAGTATTACTTGAGCTACGTTTTTTTCTTCTTTTCGCTAAATATTAAAATAGTTTTGCGCTGATGAGGGGGCACGTAATGTGAATTTTTGGTTTCCGAGTTCATTAAGCAACCTTGTTTCTCGGCCCAACACTTTTTTCTTTTCTTTTCACGCCTAATGACTGAAAACGTTAAAGTCGTATGAAAAGCGTAGGAGGAAGTCAAGTAAATTTAATAAATATTTTAACACAAACGAGTATGAATGTTGAGTCTAAAGTATTGAAAGTTAATTATGCCACTTAAATGATCCGAATTATTGGGATTATTTCAATGAGGATGAAAGCCAAGGGGAACTTGACGGAGCTATAATTCTTACTTCGAATTGTTGTGATCCATTGAACTCGTCCTCTCCGAGTCTTTTAGCCCCGCCAGGAGCTTGAAGTCCATTCGTCAGAGGGATACCGATATTTCCGGTTCTGTCGCCTCGATCTCTTTGACGTCGCTCGGATTCGCGTTTCACTATGCGAACAGTTTTGATCTCTTGTTTCTCGCGGCTGTGCATCAAGCCTAGGAATGTCAAAATAAAACAATTCGTATTATTATTGGAGATTGTCGCCAGTGTAGCGAGGTGAGTCACGGATCTCTTAAAAAAAAAAAAAAAAAAAAAAAAAGAATCTCTGCTTCGTTAATCGCCTCGTCACTCTCATTAACGCGCCGTGTCATTTATTTCCTCGCACGACTATTTTAACCTCTGAGCGCAAAATTCGAGCACAATCAATTTCGACAATTCAGAGAACAATGCAATGAAAATTCCTCCGAGACGAACATTATTACGATACTTCCGCAATCGCGCATTTCTATATTAAGCAGTGGAGGGCAATGTGCGTACATTATATTAGAATGAGAAGGAGCACGTGGTAGGGGTGGCGCCTTGCACTCGGAGGAGAGTGAGTAGTTACAGCGTCAGAAGCGGCACTCGGGTGCATAACTGCGAATAAGGACGCGTAACGGAGGGGAAGCCGACGGGGACGGCGAAGAATGTGGCGGAGAGCTCGGCGAAGAGAGCCGAAATCGACAATGAGATTAAGCGGGGGTGGGGTAGCTGGTAAGGTGCCAACGGCCGGCGAAATGGAACATGCCGAGTTTCATCCCTGGCCGCGTTGGTGAAAACAGCCGGCGTGAAAGTAGCGAGAAAGTAGCGAGAAAGTAGCGCCGGGAGAGCTGCGGCTGACGCGTGTCGCTGTCAAAGTCAGCGCGATGCCGCGGAGTGGAGGGAGGGAGGAGCGGGCGGCCATAACGAGGACGAGAAAGAGGTTGTCGCGTCGACAGGCCCCGGGGGAGATCCTTGCATCGACGACTCGATATGTCCAGCGGGGCCGCAGCCGGGGTCCTCGGATTACCCGAAGGGACCGAAGTCACTGCAGTCCCGTCTACGTGGATGAGCCTCTGCGGGAAAGTCTATCGCCATCCGCGTCTCTGCCGTTCGTTCCGCCTCGGTCGCTATCTCCCTCGCACCCGTACGCTACTTGCCAGGCAGTATAGCGAGCGCGCAATGCAAATCGCTCGCTCGCCAACGCATAAATCGCGCCTGATCGCTAGTGACCACGAGAAGCTCGAGGGCGGGGATTGGGATGGGGATGGGAATTGGGTGGGGTGGTGTATGTGAAGGGTGATGGGGAGGGGTGTGAGAGGACGATGAGACAAAGCGCCGATTAAGCAACGTACAGCTGAGAATTATTATTTTCTCTGGCTACGCTCTTGTTTCAAACGCGAACAAATGCGACGAACAAATCCAAGCCACTTGCTTAATTTACTATAATTGCTTATTATTATTATTGTTGTTGTTGTTGTTGTTGTTGTTGTTGTTGTTGTTGTTGTTGTCGTCGTTGTCGTTGTTGTTGTCGTTATTATTATTAGCATTATCATTATCACTATTATTCGCGATGATCATCATCGTCGTCGTGAATTTTTAATTATAATAGCAGGTGTGAATTTTGTGTGCCAACTTACCAGAAAATTTACCATCATCGTGCCCGTAGACGCCGTTCATTATTATCAGCTCTTCGTTTGGCGGTGGAGGAGGTGGTGGGATGTACTCCGGGGGAAGAATGGGACCGCCGTTAGTCATTTGGTCGTAGTGCTTAGCACTTTCTGTAAGGGACCGATAAAATTTCGTAAACACAATATCCGAAGCAATGGCAATATCACAAAGTCACATCATAGATTAATTAACAAAGTCTTTTACAAAAATAGAAGGAAATATTCTACGAAACCATGCGCAAACAATATTCCTCTACCTAAATTAACTCAATTACCGTTGCAACTATTCGGATAATAAATTGTAAATTTTACTGTACATAAAGTTAATAATTAGACAATGGGTAATGATCGCTTAGGTAGTAGTCCTTAGCAACGTCACGTATAACAAAGAGGAAAAGACCAGCACACTGTCTAATTATTGTCTTTTCTTGCTCGGTAGAACTGAATTCTTACCTAACGCGGTCCTCTTTTTGCAACGTAACTACACTGTAGTGCCTACTGCGTGAAAGTCACCAAAGTCTATTTTCCAAATAATTAAGTAGGTCTTTAATACAATTGAATTAATTAATTATGTTTAATGATTGATGCTCGGATTTATGTAAAAATGGGCGTTGATGATGTGATTATTGAATTATGATTGAACATTATACGCGACTATTAAAATTACTTGTCATATGTTTATTAACATTATTTTACGATCCGTTACCATCAAGCATTATCATGAGTGATATAATGATGTTGCTGCTAATATGTTTAATCCTTGTTCATTTAAAATACTCAAACTGCCGAGGCGTGAGTGTAGTTTTGAAAATCATTGGATGAACGAAAATGTATGAATTTCTTCGATTTCATGAACTTTTCAATGATAATAATCATTAAATTATAAATTATTAAAATTTTCTTTATCTTTTCCGTTTTCATTTACATTAATTTTACATTACTTGATTATTGGCTTAGAATTTTCGAATAAATGGTTTGCATGATGTTAGAAAAGTGGAAATAATCACATGGAAATATGTTATTCGAGAGTATCAAGTTATTGGAGAGTTGACAATTTAATTTTTTTAAATGCGATGAATCGTAATGGACGTGAGGAGAATAGTCTGCGCTAAAGTATTTCAAATTGTCAATTCGTATATTGATATCTTGTTAAAACAATGAATTTCGCTCTTTCACCTCCAAGACGATTACTTAACATTTAAAAATAAAAATTCCACGGACAACGACAATACTCGAATTACATATTCGATGATATTTCTTTTTCGGACTCTTATCAAAAAAATTTATCATTAAGAATTAATTAGAATCTTCTAAACTTTCCTATCCGAGTATATTAGCGGCAGAAATATAAAAAATGTGTAAGAAATATTGTGAAAGACTTTTATTAGATGATAGATAACAACGTCAAAGTAATTCTTATTTTCTAGAATTTGAGAGATTTGAGAGCACATTATTTTAGAAATACTTTACGTTTATCGCACAGCATCGATGTACGTTTATGAATTCTTATCGATAACGAGCGGCAATTATTTGAAAATTAATTACCTATTGGAAATATAAATTAAAATTTCGGTAAAATTACAATGAAGAGTTGGGAATAGCGCGAGCATATTTCTACAACGACACGGTGATTTTGCATTATTCATGCATTTGATATTTTAGAACTTTGAACGGCATATATTCTTACACATTATTCCTGTATATGTAGATTTTTGTATATATATATATATATATATATATATATATATATATATATATATATATATATATATATATATATATTTAAGCTTTTTGCTTGATTCAATTTTGCGTTTGAAATGATAAATTTGTTTCGAGTCCTAAATGTTGTAAGCTTATTGAAACCTCATAACAAAACTAAATGAAATACATAAATAAATAGAATAAAGACACAGTGTATAATGAAACACATTTCCAATGAAATTCCAGTACGTTTTTATGAAATTTACATGCCAATAAGGAAATGCCGGCAACCTTATCTTATTCACCACCAGCCTGACAATCTACCGAGACGCATATTTTTATAGCTGACGGTTAAAGGTGTCGAGAGTCCGGCTCGAGGAATTTCATTGGACATTGTTAAAGTCGAGATGGCTTTGAAAAGCGAGAGAGTGATGTGCGATATCGACGACATGGATGTCGATGCACAGAGGATGAGTGTCGAGGGGTTGAGAGCGTAGGAGAGATCGTCGACGAGTCTTACCGTGTCTCCTCGGATCTTGAACGATAGTGTTTACGTAGAGGGGCACGGGGTTGGTCTGCTGCATCTGGTCCTTGAGTAACTGCTGCTTCAGCTGGTGCTGTTGAATCTGCTCCCTCATCTGGGGCGAGAGGCCGGACATGGTGCAGTTCTGGGGCGAGGCGGCCTGGACCTGGGACTGTCTGCAGTACTGGGATGAGGATGAGGATGACGTGGAGGCCGGGGAGCGCGATTGGCTCGATAAATCCTTCGCGTACTGGGGTGAGCCCAGATTATGTTGCTGATGCTGATGCTGTTGGTATGGACTTCCGTTGAGCTTGGCATGCGGGGAGGCGGACAGAGCCGGGCTGGAGGAGAGCTCGAGGCCGTGTTCTTGGGTGAGGCCGGAGTCGAGGTCAGTCTCCAGCCAGGAGCTCGGTGCGCGTTTCTTCGGCTGGTGAACTTGCGGCGCTGGAACAACGGGCAATGAGCCAAGTCTAGCATTTTGTGATTTATGGGTCGTGAGGAGAGGGAGAGGGGGGGGGGGCTGGCCGGGGCCGGGCGGAGGAGAAGCCAGTGCCTGCATAGTACTGATTTTCCGAGAAATATTCACATTTTATGGCTCTCGAATTTTGACAACCTTGATGCGAGACGTCAGGAGGTCAAGACTCCAAAGGAGAATGTGCAATTTTTAATGCTGACTCGCTACTACCTTTCTTCTTTTGTTTCCTTTTTTCTTTTACTACTTTAGCCCCCGACAAGTCCAAAAAAAACAAAAAAAAAAAAAAAGAAAGAAAACAAAAAAAAAACGAAAACTCTATAGCACGCTGATTTGAAGAGAAAAAGAAGAAGAAGAAGAAGAAGAAGAAGAAGAAGGTCTTTTTAAACAGTTACGTATTAGAGTTTTAATAATCACGGGGAAAGTTTTAACTGACTGTAACAAGTACCGAACACAATTTTTTAAATACTCGAAGAGAATTCTTGCTAACGGCTCTGAAATGTTTACATTAAGCCGACGGAAGTCTGTCATTATTAATCGCGATTTAAGAAATAACGACAAAATTTAATATCATTTAAGCAAACGAGCATGACTAATAATATTCAGATATAATTTTAACGAAAACGTTGAAAAAAGATGATGAAATTTTGTAGGATGGCACTTTGGCATGAAAAGTGTTGGTCGAGATAAGACTCGAGTCCATTTTCTAGTCAATAATGTATTTTCCGTTTGTATCAACAGCATCCGTTACGTTTGTCTAGAGATTATTTTAAGGCTGAGTAAGGTAAGCGAAGTATCAGTGGCCCAAGGAAGCGCAACATCATTCGCGAGTGCCATCCTAAAGGGGATGAGTATTGGGCCTTAAATGACCCTCGGCTCCTCGTTAAACTCACTCGAGCTGCTTTGCGGTCTGATCTGCTGCACAAGGCTGTGGGATTTCTCGGTTAGCTGCCTGACTTGTATGCTGAGCTCCTGACGCTGCCGCTGGAGGTCGCCGACGAGCTGCTGCACACGGCGCAGCTCCTTCTCGAGAGCGGCCGTGGTGCCGCTGGAGTCGCGGATCTGCACGTTACCCGCGTACCTGCGCGAGGCCTGGAGCTTCTGGCGCAGCACCACGAGGTCCTGCTCGAGGCGCGCGTTCTCCGCCACCGTCTCCTCGAGCTTCTGCAACGTTGATGCCCGTATGGTTAGACGCATTGGGGGGGGGGGGGTTGGATTAGGAATTGGGTACCGATGTCGCAAGGGTCGCCAACCGAAATTATCGAATTCTGCTTGGACAAAGGTAGGACGAATTGGCGATTCGCGAAATCGCTTTTGCGTGTCCTTCTTTGGTCGGGACTGGATTTTCATCCTTATGAAGCCAAGCCGAGGACTTATTTGCTCGAGGAAAAAAAAAAAAAAAAAATTAATATTTATCAACAGTACCGCCCATTATGTTACAATATGAATACAAATTTTAATACGACCGCGATAGCCGATCAGTTTTAACTTTTCTAGGTAATAAAGTAGGGAATTTTCTTTCCGATTTTAACCTACTCGACGACACCTTGGCACACATTAAGCATTTCCTCCGATAAGAATAATAAGAATATTCAATATATTTTAAAGTTTTATTGAAAATTTCCCCGGTTCTCAATAATCTTCGAAAGTTTTATTTAAAATTCTGCAGAGCCGATTTTACGAAAGTTTTTTTAAGACTCTACAGTGCTGAATGCCAAGCCATCAACAACTCTACGATAATTTGATTCCGACTGTGTTATTCAATGTTACATCATTTGAGTCGATTGATTAAATTATCTATACGTCGTATTTAGTCTAAAAATTAACGAAATACCGGTGAATAAATACTGCTATTACATAAAGAAATGACTAGTAAGAGAGAGATAGTAAGAAAGTACTATCAATTATTATTGACGATATCTCGAATTGTCGCTTATAGAATTTCGTCCAACGCATCAATTATTTTACTAAATTATTAATCATAAATTTCGGTTTGCGACCACTCATAATAATGAAATATCCAGGCTAAGCTATCGTGCGCCATTAATTAAGATTAATAAATTAAACTGTTAATTAAATTTCATATAGAAAAATGCAAAAAAGGAATAGAGGATGATTGAATTAAAAATATGTCTGATGATCGTAAGTTATTCGATTGATATGAAAGTATATTTGCAAAAATGATAATAACTTTATATTTTATAAAGATGAACGTTTAATATGAAAATAATCGTAGAGTTGAGAAAATTGAAAATCATACTTTTATCGACTTACATTATTTCTCAATACGCAATAAACATTTCGTACATTTTTTTTTTTTACATTGAGTTATTCGAGGACTTAAAAGTAAGTTCGATAAAATCCACGAGATGTTCGTATCATTTGATTTATACGGATTAAAAAAAAAAAAAAAAAAAAAAAAAAAAAAAAAAAAAAAAAAAAAAAAAAAATGAAGAAATGAAAAAATTTTTTTTCCTTTATTACGATGAATATGAATTTGCGTGTAAATCAACCATTTCCAACTCCATGCATTATTAAAGATCAAAAGATAACATGTGAAAAATTAATAAAGGCGATAAGACAACAAAAAACTGTATAAACGAGGCATAACTACATTTCGTCAGAATCGACATTTTACCTGGAAAAAAACGGGCTTGACCTGTAAAATAATGAAGCCTGTATTATAAATCGCGCTTCTTTCTACCGATCTTTTTTTATTTTTATTTTTATGTTTCATCATTAAGACTACGATGTTGGCACGACCGTAATATTTAAATCCATCTTAATCATAGAATTGACATTTAAGAACGAAGCAACGAAAATTATCGTTAACGGGACTTTCCTTGCGAAAGCCGCGTACGCAGGCTCAAAAGACAAATTTTCAGCCGCGTTCAAATGTCATAGGATACGCACGTGTTCTTGACAGCTAATTTGAATATTCGATTCGTATTACTTGATTGCCTTGGAATGGGAATCTCGAGATATCGCATTTCAACATTACAACTAGAAGAAAAAAGGAACCCCGTATATCCCGCTTCGCCATCCTCCCCCTCCCCCCAAAATTAAAATCACGCTTCTTCGCGTTCCCCAACGCGCGACAAAAGTACTTAAGCATCCAGGGGGCACACGGCACGCGTCCACTGAAAAAAGGCCATTTTGCCTTTCGTGGTCGGAGGGCGAATGGCGAAGGATTTATTGATGGAGCGATGGGATGGGAAGGGTGTAGGTCGACCCTTCCGAGGGGCCGAATTAGCTCGTAAAGAGCGCGAGATCGGCATCGGGGTGTCCGCTTCGGTCACCGGGGCTCGAGCCTACCTTGGAGTTGTGCGCGAGAAGGAGGCGCACCCGACTGAGCTCCCGCTCGAGAAGAAGCTGCTGCTCTCTGTAGCGCTCGGCCTCCGCCGGATTACTGCGGCTGCAGCCCTGCATCTTGTGCCTGAGACCGCCCAGCGCCTTCTCCAGCAATTCCTGCGGCAAAATACGCATTCGGTTCTGGCACCTTAGAGAAACAGCTCCGTCGCGTCGACTCGTTATGCCGGTTTGTTCGAGATAATACAATCGTGCCTAATAGGCGTAGGGCAGGGTGGGGGTGGGTGGGGTGGGATGGGAGGATTTAATTTCCCGTATACAATCGTCGCTCGAGATTATTAAAAGGGCGTTCCTCTCGTTTGTCACTGCTGCACTGGTTGTCGTCCCGTCTATATCAACATCTACGGTCTCTGTTTTGGTTGTGATAAGTAAGAATGCGCGAGCCTAGCGGCACACTAAATTGTAAAGAAAGTTTTCTCTAATGAACGTGCAGTGATTTATAAATTACGTGATGGTATGTTTAATTTGATTTCAGCGACTTTACCAAACAGATATTGCTCTATTTAATTGAACGTGATAATGTTCGAAAAATCCATAACAAAAATATTGTTTACTTGTGGTGTTTTTTTTTTTTCATTGAAAAAGATCTAAGTATCGTCCATTGAAATATCTTTGGCTACGAGAAACATGCCGAACGTGAAAATACAATTATGCAAGACTTATAGGAGTAATAAGCATCCAAATGTAATTACACGAGTTCGCCAAACGTAAAAGTGTATGGCAATGCCAAGTATGTAAGTGACAAACCTTGTTCTGCTGAAGACTGTGAAGCGTTCCAGATTCCTCTTGAAGTAATTGGTCCAACTTGTAGAGCTGTTGCACCTTAGCCTGGGAACATTACAGAGAAAACTCACACTGTAACCGATTCAACGAGAAAGAATCCGAGAGCTATTATTCACTCATTTTGCCTGTTTTTTAACTTTTAGTTATTTTATTACGAGGTTAGCTGCATTTCTTGCCAGTGTAAGACCGAGGTTCTTCCGTTCCTCCTGCAATCGCTTTAATGCGGTTTGGTAGTAATTTTGCAATATTATTTCAATAATGTTTTTTATTTACGTAAAAAAAGTACTCGCTTATCTATATGTATTGGAGCCTCGTCGTTACTCCAACTAATTAAAACGAAGGAGCATTCGGATGATTTACTTGCGCTATGTATCAAATAATACATAAAGTAAAAACGTTCGTTTAGAATATCATACAAAGCTAAAGATTAAACTGTAAATGAAGTTTTCTACATTATAACGGAATTGTGCGCGATAGGTTAGTAGATAAAAGTTGGTAATTGGCAAACGTGTTTAACAATGGTGCAATGATAAAAAAAAAGCCTATAAAACATAATAAATTTTCAAAGTCATATGTCGCTAAAAATAAATTTATAATTTGTTTTAAGAATAATCTTAACGATGATTGAATTCATTGAATAATATTTAGATTTATTGTACGTCAACTGTCGTATTAAACGTACAAATGTGTTTTTCAACTTTCAAATTTTGAGTGCGAGAGATAATTCGAGTGGAAATAATTCTAGTCTACAACGAATTCGTATAGATAAAGTTTATTTTTAACCTCTATTATAATATTCATTATTCTATTTTTATATTTTTATGTGGAATAAGTTATTAATGCACTAATTCTTATCATTACCAATTTATCTCGTTCACTCGTTTTATATAAAATGGACTCATTTTCAAGGAAAATTCAAAGCTCCGTTAATAAAAATGTATATTCAAATATGCAGCTTTATTATATAGAAAAAATTATTTTTTCATTATACAAAATATATATATATATATATATATATATATATATATATATATATGCAATTGTTACAAACATTAAGAATTGAAATAAGTAGGTAATTTAAAAATATGTTAATTTGTGTGTGTGAGTGCGCGCGCGCGGGCGCACGTGGATCCGTGCGTGTATGTATGTAGTATATATTTATATATATATATATATATATAGATATATATATATATAATAGGTAGTAATCACATTGGTAAACTTATTAAAATGTTTTTAAAAAATATTACCATTGTATTCCTTTGTTAATTTTGAAACAAAACAAAATAAAAAAAAAATAAAAAAAATAAAAAAATCAAGTTGAAAGCTACTTGTATTAATTTTTAAAAACTTTTCGACTTTTATTCATTTATCAATGGTGAAGTCTATGAACATAAAAAGTTTGACTAACAATAGAAAATAAAAATTAATAGTTTGAAAAATGTTGAAATTCTTTTAAAGCCGACAATCATTATACAAAGTTACCATTCACACTAATAAAAAACGATTTTTAACGTACATTTTGTTCAATATTTAAAAAAAAAAAAAAAAAAAAAAAAAAAAAAAAAAAAAAAAAAAAAAAAAAAAAAAAAGTATATTTTTCATAATTTTGAATACCAATTGAATAATGACAGTTGAGTTCTGAAAGAGAATTTTTCTAAATTAAAAAAAGAAAGATTAAAAAACGTTTTTATTTTAATACACTAACTGTTTTTCTTTTAATATTGCAGTAAACATTATTACTGTTAAATTAGATTGTCAAATTTGAATTATATATGAAGAAATATTGATTTCCATGAAACCTTAAGTAATTTTTTGGATAATAAATATATTATGCATATAAATAAGTAATCTAATGATAAATTCTATATTTAATGGGAAATCAATTCAGGACTTTGATTTAATAATAATACCATTTCTTTTATAGATTAAAAAATTGGTCTGTAATCGAAAAAATATCAAATATGAAATTAATTTATGTTTAATATGTTAAATGCATGAATTTTTCATACATCGGTGTAAAAATATTTTACTTTAATGTCGTAGACATTGAAATTCTTAAATATTAGTTAAATCTAGGGAGCGATATATTCATTCGGAATATATTAATTATAAATATAATAATTTTGTTGTTTATGCTGGAAACGATTTGATTTTTATGATTAATATAAAATATAGGATATTTCTTCTTTCCTCGTTTGCTGTCCTTCTTACTTTTTTTTTTGTTTTTTTTTTGTTTTTTTTTTGTTTTTTTTTTGTTTTTTTTTTGTTTTTTTTTTGTTTTTTTTTTGTTTTTTTTTTGTTTTTTTTTTGTTTTTTTTTTGTTTTTTTTTGTTTTTTTTTGTTTATTAATCATGGCATTATTTATAGTATTTTAAGTAAGGACAATATAAAGTAGAGTATTGATTTTCAATGTTAAAACGATAAAATTGGCGATAATTAAATTAAAATACTTTTTTATATATACTACCGAATGTTTTATATTCCATGATGATTGTTGAGTAATTTGGATGACCTTTATGCTATTTTGCTTTTCATTTATTCGAGATAATTTGTACTTTCTCTCTACGGAATTTGCCTAATTGAAAAGACACGCAAGCCAAATAAGTAAGTAATGCCATTGTTGTTAATGCTGCAGTAAACTAAAAAAGCATTAAAAGCTAATGTAAATTTGACGCGAGGACATGTGACGTCAACGCAAAAAATTTAAAAGAAAAAAAAAAGCGCACATATGATAGTTTAAATTTATTGTTTTAAGTTTGCTTCAATAACTTGGTAATATGACGAGGCCTACTAACATTTCACTTTAATTTAAAAAATAAAACGGTTGTTGTTTTTTTTGTTCTTTTGTTTTGTTTTTCTTTTCTTTTCTCGGCAAGGCGCGATGCCTAAGCAATATCATATGCAATTCCCGTAAAGCTCTCCCCTCTCGGGACACTTTCCCAATATAATATTCATCGTAGTGGGAGGATAGTCTGCTTGGATAGGGCTGCTTGAACGACGGTTGCAGCAGTCAAAAGATGAAGTGGCGAAAAGTCGGTCTCGGCAATTCTATATCTATATATTACATTACAACCGCGAGAGAATCCGGTTAAGACGATGCTCTAGCGACATATAACTAGTCTTGAGCTACTACCCCTCCCCCTTCCTCCTCCTTCCCCTCTCCTCATCCATCATCTTCTCTTCTTCCTGTCTCGGAACGATCACCTAGACGTCGGATTCTGCCATCCGATACTCGCACACTCGGGAGACTCGCAACTGTTTAGTTATGCACGACCAGGAGGAGTGACGCACTTCTAACTACGCGTCTATTGTAGAGACGATAGGAGCGAGAGATCGAGGGGACTGCGTGTACGTTCGCGTATGCGTGCGCGTACACACGCACACAGAGAGAGAGAGAGAGAGAGAGAGAGAGTGTGTGTGTGCGTGTGCGTGTGTGTGTGCGTGCGTGCGTGCGTGCGTGCGTGCGCGCGCGCGCGCGTGTGCGTTTGTGCGTGTGTGCGCGTGTATGCGTGTAACAGCTACGATTAACGGGATGGAACAATCGAGCCTCCGTCTTTATCATTTTCGCAGCAATACTGTGATAGCGCTTATCGTTCTCACTGTCTAATATGGAGAATGAACAAGACGGGCGTGTTAAAGGCACATCAGATCTCGGAAAGATTAGTTTCTCCTCTCTCCAACGTTCCGAAGAATGTCATTATGATTGCTTATCACGAGAATTGCGAATTAATATGGGCCGCCCACTCACACTCTAAGCAACATCAAAATTTCAATATTTTTAGAAATTATTTCGAACACGCAGCCACTGACAATCCTAATGCTCGAACAATTGTACATAGAATATAGTGTATTTAAGAAACAATGTTGTCGTACGTTGTTAATTATAAATTATGGGCCTCAAAATCGTAAAATCATCGACTAAGATGTGGTGTAATAGGAGCAGATTACCGTGTCAACGCCAAATAAATTAGCGCTGATTTATATTCGGCATTATATTCTATTTTAGCGTAGGACATTGGTGTTGCAAGATATATAGCAATAATTTCATAAAAGAAAGTCTTTGTGCGTGATGAAATTTAGATCTTTTAATATATGTTGGGATTTTCTTTGCTTTTAGTTTCAATACAGAATACGTAAAAGCGAGCGTTTACTTATACAACTAAAACCCTGTCTCATTTTAGTTTTTTCTTCTTTATGGATTTTCATTAGCAAAATGGAATCTCTCATGCTCGCATTGAGATTCAAAGTCTATGAAAGATATTCGAACGAAATATATCTCATTGTAAAGTCAAATATAAGTTATATTTTTTATTTCGATTTATATTTATAATCTATAATACTCTATGGTGTATTGTTGACCATATGAGACTTTACGAGATTTTAAAATGGAATACTTAGTACTTTGTATTTTTCTTCACAATGCTTCTGATTAACGTCGCATTTAGAGATTTATCAAACAATAATATTCCGTAGAAAGTACAAGTAGCTTAAACTATCGTAAATATAATATAGAATGTTAAAGTATATTCTGTGGAAAGACGAAAAAAGTTTTTGTTGTAACTTTTTGCAAAGTCTTTTGCTTCGATGCGAAATTGATCGATAGACGTGGAGTGCTATCAAAGTTTTTATTAAATTTTGGATTAAACCACTGCTTTTGACACTTTGATAATTTATAATATCAGTCATATCTCTATTAATTTAAATTTTTTTTTCTTCAGAATTTTATATTTGATAAAGCGCAGCGTCGAGCATCGAAAGATAAGCAAAACTTGAAAATTATCCAACAATAGCACAGAGGCGTAACAAGAGAGATATTTATACAGAATTTTTAGTTTATCCAATGCACATAATTACGCAATCCCTTCATTTCCTCATAACGCAATTTTAAGAATTTTAAGAAAAGATAAAAGAAAAGAAAACAAAATAATACAAGATGGGCCTCGGGATAGGAGGGCCAGTAGAAGCCGACGTAAGCCTCAAGTTCATTCCTTTTCCGGGCACGAAAAGCCCTGGACAATTAGGGTGCGAGTGCGAAAGCATGAGAATTACAAAAAATAGGAAAAGCTATCTTACCTGAAGCTGTCCGTGATCGGGGCTGAGTCTGTCCCAGTCGCGTCGCTCTTCTGCGAGGAGCCGCTGTTCCTGGAAGCCGCTGTTCCTGGACACGCTGGTTGAACTCGAGCCGGTCCCGATGATCCCTAGCCCCCTCCGGCATTAGGTCGTATCGGGACCCGAAGAGGCTCCCTGTGCTCAAGCCGTTCGCCTTGTTGCAGTTGTAGAGCGAGCCCAGCTTAACCATGTTGTCGACGAGGTTAACGAGCGGCTTGCCCTTCTCGTACTGAAACAAGACAAATAGCTCGCGTTACAACTTTTTTCCGGCTGCTCAGGTACACAGTTTGCCGCTACCGAACCCTTTAATCTCTTGTTTTGTTACTCGCTCCCCCACTTTTCACTGAAGATGAAAATTTACTTTAAAAGCTATTATAACGTGTAGGTACGTTGAATATAAATTTCGAGATCATAACCGCATTGTTATTCGTAATGAATAATCGAATGTATGTAAAATCGCTAATCATCGAGTGTTAAGCGTCGTAATGTAATGCATTCGTTCGCACGTCCGCCATTTATTTCGTTGTATTAGGTTGTTCATGTATTAGGTTGATAAAATATAAGTTAGATATATAGACTGTCGTGCCTATAATTTGGCGTAAGTGAATTCACAGATCGCGTGAAATCGTTAATTGAATTTCACAATATATATATGTGTGTGTGTGTGTGTGTGTATGTATGTGTGCGTGTGCGTGCGTGCGTGCGTGCGTGCGTGTGTGCGTGTGCGTGTGTGCGTGTGCGTGCGTGTGTGTGTGTGTTTGTGTGTTTGTTTGTTTGTTTGTTTGTTTGTTTGTTTGTTTGTTTGTTTGTTTGTATGTATATACATGTAAGGCAAATAGTGGGCTAAAGATTCAAATTTAGCTGAAAGTAATGTCGTCGCAAAACCCCGGAGCAATCGATTCCAACAAAACTTTACGGCTAACGCATCTGCGGCTTTCGCATGAAAACCCAATGAAATAATTCTTGGACGTCCGATCAATAGCACAAGTTTACAGTGGTAATGAAGAAACACTAGTTTGCATTGAGTTTGCTAACTTTTAACTCGTGGTCTTATTATACAATACACCAAAGTTACGAGATTTTTTTTTGCTTCTCTACTTAGGAAGTGCGAGAAGCTGTCCGAGAAAGTAATCCGCAATCTTTCAAGCTCAAAGGATATGAATTTAACCGACGTGTTTGCTTGGATGACGTTGGGCATATCCAGCCGCGCGTAATAACTCCTCTGTCGTTAGTCGATATTTTTGACAGTAAGTTACGAAAAAAAGTCGGCTTATGACGTATCTACAGTCAGGCATGCTAAATCTTATGAATCGACAAAATATATCAATATGTTCTTGCTCGTTACAATCCATTACTTACATATACGATTCTTTTCATCTATTCACGTGCGAAATATTTCATTTTGAGTATGCATACTACTTAATTAATATTATTCATTATATGTAGTTGTAATGGGAATTAATAAGTAATCGATTATAAAGTGGTGATATTCAATTATTTTAAATAGTTTTCCTAATTATAATTGTATCGCATGAATTAATCTATCCGTCTCTCTAATCCGTATAAACAGTAAAAGCAGACAGCTAAATTTAATTTTAAAACATACAAGCAATTACCCAGCGCTGTTTAATTTCAATTTATTTATTTATCTTTCTTATTAATCAGTAAAAATGTCACTTAAGCCGTTAATTAATGACCTTAATTTCGTTGTTATTGTTAATACTAATCGTAGTATTTATCAAATAGTTTACTTTTATTGTAAAACCAATGCCAATAATTTCAATTCAGTAACGAATAAAACGAAGCAGATCTATAACTAATTATAATTATATTACGATAATTTATCGTATAAATATTGTAGAGAACTTGCAAAGTCGTTTTAAACTAATAACATTGATATCAAAATTATTAGAAAATATAATTATTTTTTATGCTAGTATACTGAATTTTTATTTTTCATTTCTCGACATTCCACATTAATATATAAAACTTTTTTTTTTGTAATCGCGTATTAGCATTTTTTTCTTCCTACCTTTCACGTTTTTTTATTCTTAAAAGTTGAAAGCAAAAATAAAACACCAACATAAATACATATGAATAAATTCTATTATTATAAATATTATTTCAAATTTTTATTAAGAATACTGTTATTTCGATACAAGTATTAATGATTATTAAAGTAGAATTATGTAGTAATGTAAAATTGTCAATAATGTGACATTTAAATATCATAGTTAGTGAAATTCAATTTAAATCGAATGAGTTTTAATTAATTTTTAATTGCTAAAATTGAATTTGAAATATTAATAAAAGTAATAGGCAATTGAAACAACAATCTTTTTAATTAAAGATTCTTAAGCAACGTAGATTAAATATTTTTTATCAAATTTTCTTTTTTAATACTTTACAGCTTAATTTTTCTTCTCGCATGTCTCATTAAATGTAAAACGATATTAAAATCTTCCAAATTTAATTCATTTAAAAATCTTGGGCTTTATCCGAAGTATTTGCAATGTAACATTCAAAAGTCTCTTTTAAATATAAATTTGATTTGCATAGACGAGGATAAACTGTTCGTTCACTAATTTTGAAATAATGTAATTTTGAATGATGTGAAAGCGAGAGGTGGCTATAGTTACAAAATACAAAAAACTAATGTTGTACCTGCTTCTCAAGGTCCATAAGGTGCTTCTTCAGTTCCTCCAGTTTCTGTAAGTTTTCCAATCGTCTTGGCGTGTCCAGTTCCACCAATCTAGCCTACGAAGCCAAAGAAAATCAGTTCGAGTCAGTGCACGTTGTGTCTGTCAAATCGCAAAGAGCCCCAACGTTATCGGCTCGCATCAAAATTTGCCGTATGTCTTTAATTAACGTGCCTATGTGTACTAACGTACATACGATTACATAAATGTGTTGTTAGTAAATATGAGCGTGCACTCGTTCCTCCAAATTTTCCCCTACACCCACCCACACCTCATTAAAAAAAAAAAAAAAAAAAAAAAAAAAAAACCTCCATTATATACATTTACATTTGCATTAGGCTTTTTGTCTTCGGCTACGCGTTATTTTTCTTGTTCAACAGCTCTAAGCATCAAGGCGAAAATTCATTCACTTTTTTTCTCACAATATCTGACCTACGCGTACGTTATGCGATGCACGCAATCTCGTGACAATGTCTAGCAGGGACGGGAAACTAAAAAAAAAAAAGAAATTGTCTAATCGCTTAATAAAAATAGAGAAAAGAGCTATTAAGATATCTTTAGATATAGATGGTAGGTCGTCGATAGGTAATACGAAAGCTCATTGGCGCGACAATGAGACAAAAGATCGAAAGTATACCGCTCGAAAAATAAAGCTCTGCCGGCAGCTTGAAATAGTTGCGAGGCCACGACGCACAGACTCTGGACTGGCGATCGATGCTGGGTAGACGGCTGATGTCCAGGACTCGCGAGATCGAGCTTTTCCCACAGCGGCCGTAACGGACGTGGCGAGCTCCCAACTACCACGGCAACGTCGACACGACGACTGCCGGGACGAGATTTGAGATCGCGGGCCGCGCTCCGTCGCCGCGAGGAGGAAAAACGAGCGGCGACGCGAGACGTATTTTTTACTCGACGAGCCTACGGACTCACGCGAGCTCAGCTGAATCTCATAGCGCGCGTTCAGCTACTATTACGCCGCTGCGCTCCCGATTCGTCGAACGGGCCCTGCATGATCGCCGAGTCGGCCCCCTGCGGCCCGATCATAATGCTCCGTGTATCACAAAATCCGAGGTGCTGCGCTAGTCGAGGACGGTCACTGGCCTCCCGGTAACTTTTCTGTACTCCCCCCTTCGCCCCTAATCAGACATCCCAACGTAATAACAATGCCCGTTGTGCTGGGACTGACCATCTACACACCCCACCCACCCACCCACCGACCCTCATTCGCTCACTCACCCTACACTCCATCATCACTCCGCCATAACTCCGCCATAACTCCGCCAAGCCAAGGCTAATACTAGGGATATTCGGGACTACGTGGATGTACGAAGAAAGAACTGGCAATTAAATTTCCCCAGGGGCGTCTAAAAATAAGGATGAGGAGAAGTGACGGCGCTGGGCCCGACCGACGCTGTCTCTACGGCCCGACTCGAGCGTTTAAATAACGCCAAAAGAGAAAGCAGGAATAAGGAGAGTTGGGGAGGAAGGTAATAAGTCCGTAGTGCCGGAGAAAAGCCAACGGTCGGGACTTCGGCCGACTTCGTGCCCGCAGAAGCGGCGAATTAATCGGATCTTTTGTTGCTCCCTTTGCGCTACGTCTGTATCACCTCCCGAGGCCTGCTAATGCCAATGGACGGATGCGAAAAGAAACGAGAATAAAAGAGAAAGAACATGAAAGATGAAAAAAAGATAAAAAGAAATATAGACCGGCGAAGGATTATTAGTAATTAGACGGCAAGGGGCATCGCTCCCACCCATCCTACCACTAATATTATTTTCCCGTGGCTTACAACGAATTTGGCCATTTCTCCGCTGCGCTTCAATAATTATGGATTATAAAACAAAAACGGAAACAAAAAGTGTTTGGTGACTGTAAATGAGAGAAAGATAGAGAGGATGGTGATTGTAATTAAATCGAATGAGAAATCCGATGGAGCGCGTTGCGGGTTAATCGCTTATGGAAATTCCATCGCGGGAGTATACCATTTACGCGGGATTATTTTTTACGCTTAGTCGAAGAAGTTGCGCGTGAAAAAAGAAAATCGCGCTTAGCGTTTGCGACGTAAGATATTTATTTTGCAAAAGGATAGTAGATTAGAAGAGCGCAGCGTATTTCTAATCAAATACATCCCGAGGTAAAATGGTTCATCAAGGCCGGCTAAGTGGATTTATCAAAGTTCTCGTTTGGATAAGTAGAGGATAATTTATGGAATCTTGGATGCATTTTATTTTATAACGTATGGGCAAAATTATGGGCACGTACAAGGTGTTCAAGGTGTTATATTTTTCAGGAAATGAGCATTGGAAGCGAGAGGAGCAGAGCTATTCGAGTCATTCTAAATCATCGAGTATTAATTATAAGCAATTTCTTTGTATTTAAGCCCAGAGATCTATCGCATGCAATAGTTATTGTATTATTTATCAAGCAGACTATTATATAATACAAGACATAGAATTGTAAAATCTAGAACCTGTTAAAAATAAACCAAAAAAAAACCAAACAAAAAAAAAATAGAAGAAAAGTATAAACATTGTACGCTACATTAACTTATTAGCACTTAAATTACTTATTAATAACTAGAGAGCAATAATCGAAAATTAGGAAAACGAAACTATAGCTTATGTATATATATATATATATATATATATATATATATATATGGAACCTTCACCAAAGCGTTCAATCCTCATTGATTCCAAATACCTGTTCAAGAGAGCAAAATAGCATATCAATAGGCAAAAAATATTCAAAATTTAAAGCAATGAGAAATGTATAAATTTAAGGAACGGGTTAGTTATTTGTATAAAAACAAAAAAAAAAAACAGTGTAAAATCCATTGTATCCCAAGTATTTCAATACATTCTTATAAGAAAGTATTTTGCTTGTACTAAAAACGAATAGCTTCTATATAATAACGTAATCGTAGTGTTTAATACCGTACAAGAGAGAAAATTCTAATGTTGAAATGTTTTATTAAAATACGTAGTATGTTTTTTTTTCTTTATTATCGTAAGTCTGTGCAAATTGTAGAAGCATCGATGAATAATAGATGAGAAACCAATATTAGCAAGAATCGAATGGTTGCGAATAACTTTTCATTTGTATATCTCAAAGAAAAAAAAGAAAAAGTATTGTTGAAAATTCACGCGTTCAACATAAATTTCATAATAAATATGATTGATTGTACATTACTTTTCTTTTTTTTTTTTTTTTTTTTTTTTTTTTTTTGCATAAAATTGAAATGTAAAAGATAGCCAATATCTTCTGTAATTTTATACCGACAATAAAGTGACCGGAATTCGGAATTGAGTTCGGTGACAAAAATAATATAATCTAAGGTGCAGCGAAAGATCTTTAATTCTTGCGCTAAATGAAAATTGGCCATTACTCTCTAAATCTATCGTTAAAGCTATTAAGTTCTTTCTCTACAAAAACAGAATCACTTCTACGATAAAAAGATAAGAAAATTTAACGAAAAGCGTATTCAAGCAATGCCAAACACGTATATTGAAAACTACTATTTAAAGAGTAAGCGGTATAAAAAGCGAATTATTCGTACATGGAAGTACATGGAATGTAATAGGCCGAACAGTTGTTTACTTTAATTAGATAACCAGAATTTAATGGATCGAATTGAAAATAATTTTTGAAACAGAATTTGTTCACTACACGGGCTAAATCAAACTGGCATTTATCGTTAAAGTACACCGCTAGCCTTTATAAAAATCTCAAATTCGCCAAATTTCGTGTTTGAATTGAAATTCGATATTGAAATATTTGAAAATTATAATAATTTAGAGTAGAAAGCTAGAATAGCTGCGTCGAATTATAATCTTTTTTAATGAAGATGAATTCCACCGAATAGAAAGGGGCATCGATTGCGAGATCTCCGCGAATTCAAATTGACATTAGATAGACAAAAACAAAAAACAAAAACAAAAAATAAATAAAAAAAAAAATGTCTTACCAAGCGAAAAAAGGAGCCTTAATTTAACTAATCGCTAATTAAACTAATTTACTGATCCACAATTAATTTACACAGGCCTCGATTCATCATCATTGGATTTAAAAGCTCAATTATCCGTCCCAGTTCCTTAAATATCAAGCTCGAGGCAATGGATCCTACGCTGCCTTACGCGTAACGGGGCGTCGCGACGCGAGCGAGAGCCAACGAGCCCCAGTGCCGTAGAACCGGGCGTGCCGGAAGCTGGAGTCCCAGCAGATCTCGGCGACGGGAGCTCGTGCGCCGCGACTGAGGGAGGGGGAGTCGGGAGATAAGACGGCGAGAGGGTCGGGTCGATAATATAGGGCGTGGATGTCTGTGGACCTGTGCCTCGATCTCCATGTGGCATGTTTCCATGGCCTTGCATAGGGTCGCGCTCTGTCTGCGCAGCTGAATGAGCAGCAGGACGAGCTCCTCGTGGGTCCTGCCCAGCAGCTCGCCGGCCGACACCTGCACCAGGTCGCTACCACCGCCGACGGCGACGACGCCACCGCCGCCACCGCTGCTGCTGCTGCTCGAGGGTCGCCCGATACTCCTCCGGCTGCTCGACTGGCTCTGCGGGTTTCATGCAAACGACTTTCTTAATGCGAGCGCCTCGCTATCGGCCCACTCTTCGGGGATGCTGCCTCCAGCCCTCCTTCGGGCCCTCGATCTCGCTCTGCATATCGGCTGCCATTGGGCGTAGAGGACGTGGATCGAGAGACAGAGACAGAGAGAGAGAGAGAGAGAGAGAGAGAGAGAGAGAGAGAGATTGCTAGTGTGTTTGTGTGTAAAAAGTGCGACAGTGAAAGTATCAATTTGATCCTAGCGAGAGGTTGGAGGGGGGAGACCACATCGTCGGGAGATCGAGAGAGCTTCGCAATAAACTTTTATTTGCCGGATGCTTGTAATTATTCATGAGAGATGGTTTTCTATGTAAGTAGCGAACCGTATCTACGGACAGTGAGAGTATGGCAATTTTTTTTATTTTACTCTAACGGCGACACTTTTTGTTTTTTACTCGAAGCATATGTGTGCACTTGTAAGGAGGAGAACACTGCCAATTAATAAATACTACTGTTTGTTAAGCCTCTCTACTTTCGTTAAAAACGAGAACTGTGGACAAAATCATGCCATCATTAGATTTGCTTAAATGTGAAAGCCATGCATGTATGCATGAATCCATGACTAATAAGTTCCAGATAATTACGCACACTGTAATCATACTACCTTAAAATTTTAAATTTCACCAAGAATCTGCATCGGACATTCTTTCTAAAGCAATTCGCTCGACGAGATATTTTTTAATTCACTCTTGTCCTTGAACGGTAAGGTAGAAGGGCGATAATGCGACTTAACGTACATCGGTTAATGCAAATTACGCCAAATTTGACAAAAGCTCCGTTAATGAATGCATTGCGAGGTTCGCGAACTGTAAATCGAGCAGTGCTCGACAAAAGTATGTACTAGTAGCAGCAAAAATGTCCCATGAAAACCGCGTTTAGATTTGGGCAGATCTGCTTACAAGCTTCTGCAAAAGCTTCTTTGCGCTTTTGTATTTTAAGCTTGGTTAAGGGGATATGCAAATGCGAGCTTCATGAATGCCCCACTAACAATGTATTCCCATACGGCTTACATTAAAACATTAGTTATTTATATTCGGAGTATGAATTCATTGTCTTCTTTAATTTTGGCCAATGATGGCTCGTGTGATGTGAAATTTCAATAAAAATATATCGATAATATTATATAAAAATTAGATTTATTATTATGTTTCTTATGTTACGAACAAAAAAAGAAAGAAGAAAAAAATAAAAATAGGGAGAAAAAAAAGGGAAAAAAGTAGAAACGCTCCATCTAAATATATATATATATATATATATATATATATATATATATATATCATTAACCTAAAAAATTATGCGAATTATAATATGAGCGTAAATAATTAAACGATATAGGTTTACGATCTATAATACGATCAGGAAAATGCGAAGACCAACGAAAGCCATTCATAAATGTAGTGTCAACGCACGCAGATTGCGTGGTAAAGGTTGCATCGAGTTGCATATTTCCATTATACGCGTAAACAATTACAAATCACAACGAATCACTTTGGATAATAACGTTAATAGCAAATGATTTTTTTATTCAAGTGCAATGGAACTTATTGAAATTGTCAACGGTATTTTTATCTCCACATGTCGCACATAATTATTTTCCATCTTTCATCCTATTTAGTCGCAAATCACATAACCTGTTTTATTTATTTATCCATTATAATTCACTGCAACAGTTATTGCCGATGCAATGAAGAATAATAATATTATTCGTAGTAATCAAACAAAAACCTAATTTTGTACTTAACGTTTTAAGTGTATGATTTGCTTCACATTTATAGCGCTTCGTAGTTGCTCTACTCTGCCAAAATAAATAAGGAAAATCATTTTAATTGTTATTGACTTTAAATACTTCATAGAATTTCACATAATTTTCAAATATTTCTTTCGGATTTATGCGAATGAATGAATAATTGATTGTAGTGTAAGTTTTTGTATATCAGCCTTTTGAAATCACTACGATTATTAATTATCAATCCCATTAGTATTCACATTAAAGCTAAAATTTATTTTGATTTATAATGTCCGATGCCGAGATTAGTGAATCATTTCAGAATTCAACAAATACTCACTATTATTTAATTGCAAACGTCATGAGCATTCATTGGAAAATCATTGGTCAAATTATAAATACTTTACTAAACACTCAGCAGACGAGAATAGCATCTCTAACTTTATTTAATGCATTAACTTGAACTGTCGTTCGTTCCTCTATCCCATAAAAGTATGAATCTTTAGCGTTGCAATACTAAATTATAATAGCAAATATATAATAATTGACGTATTAAAAAATTGTGACACCAGCCGATTATAAATGTTTAATCGCAGTTTTCAAAAAAAAAAAAAAAAAAAAAAAAAATTATCAATATAAATTATTTCAATCGTTTGTAAAGAATCACTCTCTCTCTCTCCCTCTCTCTCTCTCTCTCTCTCTCTTTTCTTTCTCTGTATTTATTCATTCGTTTATTAATAATTTATATCAATTCATAAATACTTTAGTTGGCTGCATTCTTCAGATATACAAGTATGTTAAAAGAAATCACTCGATACTTAAAACGATTACAGGAAAATAAAGACTTGAAGATTTTAAGACTGAAAGCTTAAGGATAAATTGCGAATAAAAGCCGTCTTTCTGTAAGCTAAGCCGATAAAATAAAACTGTTGTTTTAACTTTCAAATTTGTACAAGTTCTTACGGAGAGTTCGAATTCACTGAAGTTTAGCAGATGTTTATCTTCTTTCAATGACTTCAAAAATACGTTTGGCATATAAGAACGTTGCAAAGTAAGAAATAGATAGGCACAAAATCGCACAGAAATCACGGATTATCGGCGAGTTGTAAAAATCATGAGGCAATAGTAATGGCCGATGGAGGTGCGCCCGGCACAGCCGAAAAATAACAGAAAAATATACAACCAACGGCATATAGAGGCAGCATTGCCAATAGTTGAAGTGAAAATGATTTCTCAGGCATTGACCGACTCCTTGATTACTTGATAGGAAATAAATAAATAATTGTACTTTATGGAAAGTTGACTTATCCCGAGGCATTCATAAAACAATTCGCTGTTGTATGAAAAACACCTCAACAACCATTATCAATGAATATATTGAAATAGTCATGTCGATTTTTCCACGGTCTAATGATTATTTCTCAGTACACACTCAAGCCAGAAGTAGAACCACGAAGGAACATGATCACCATTGCAATCATATTGTCGTGACAAGTTCTTTTTTTTATTTATTTATTTATTTTTTTTTTTTTTTTATTTTTTTTTTTATAAACACAATATGAAATTACATATGATTATATGAAATTCATACGTATCCAACTAGAGTGAAAAAAATCAGTTAAAATTTCTAAAGTTTGCTTAACGAACAAACAAATAATCCGGCAACTCTGTAATAAAGAGACAATAAATAGCCTTCCTACGATATAATGTATTTAGGGACTTAACGAGCCAAGTTTAACAATAATTTTCTCCAGTTACCCCCATCACTTTTAACATTTTAATAATTTGCTCCAAACTTTTCCTTACGTATCGTTCTCATTAAGACATATTGTTTGCTCGTTCTAAATGGCATTATTTTAACTAGGATCGATCTTAAAGTGAGACTCTTAAACTTTATAATGCACAAAGCTCAAACTACAAAGCACAAATTCCTATTTCGAAAATGCCCAACATTCTGCAGCCATCAAAGCCCTGAAAAAGGCATCAGCACCTTGCAGAGCGCAATAAAACCCAAAAGCCATCAACGAGAAACTACATACGTTTGCCCTTTACGCGAAGAAAAGTACTTTATGTACGAGCGCACTAGAGCGGAAGCTTATAAACACTCCCGAGCAGGAGGCCAAGTTTTTCCAAAAAGTACGACGTATTAGCACGCGCACAACTCGCTCCATTACGATGCGCGAACGACGTTGCGCAGTAGCAACAGAAATCCGAATTATTCCGAAAAAATAAAGTGCCTTCTGGCAATGTAATTATCAATAATCTACAACGATTTCGCGACGATTTCACGGTAAAATAATGGATTTTATCTTCTTAAGACCTCGCGATAAAAAAAAAATAATAATAAAAAAAATGTTCATTATATATATATATATATATATATATATATATATATATAAAGTGTGTGTCTGTAAAATAACAACCGCCGATTGTAATAATACGACTTAACGTACGTATTTTCAAAGGGAAAATAAAAATAATATGAGAAACACGTTGAAGCGGAAATTTTTAAACTTAAAAGATAAGAGCATAAGAAAATCGATTCCGACCTTAACCGCGTAACGTACATTATTGCGATTATTATTCAATTAGTTGTATAGCGTATAGTATACTACTACTGCTGCTGCTGTTGTTGCTACTACTACCACTACTACCACGGCTACTTCTACTACTGCTGCTATTACTATCACCACGACAACTGCTGCTCTTGTTGCTACTACTGCTACTGCTACTACTGCTACTACTACTACTACTACTACTACTACTACTACTACTACTACTACTACTACTACTACTACTACTACTACTACTACTACTACTACTACTACTACTACTACTACTACTACTACTACTACTACTACTACTACTACTACTACTACTACTACTACTACTACTACTACTACTACTACTACTACTACTACTACTACTACTACTACTACTACTACTACTACTACTACTACTACTATTATTATCACTACTATATTATATTATATATTAACAGTATCAACTTTTTGCATTAATAACGAAGAGTTTATTTGTAAAAACTAGGTAATAAACTTTCTTCTAAAAATTCATTTGTATTATTACCGAATGTTTTTTAACGGTTTTTTATCACATTAAAATTTTTAAAAGTTTCACAAATACTCGAAAAAATGATTATTGTATTAAGCATCGAGATTTTAAGGTCGCGAGTAACAATAATATAGTAAAATACAAAAATATTG